ATGACGAAATGACGAAGCAGATATCGTCCTCTTTTGGAAGACCAAACAAAGTAGTTTCGCTTTCACAACGAAACACACAACATGGCGGCGGCAGCAACAGCGAGAATAAAAGTTACACCTTCTTTCTTTGCGTGAACATTTGGGCGGCGTTATGCACATCTTCCCACATCGTGACGTAGACATGTGGGGGCGTGTTAGAACGAGCCGTTTTAGGTAGGAGTGGTTGACTCTTAACTTTTATAAAGAATATCTCTTTGGATTTGAGACTTTAGTCTTTGCAACTTTACAGATCTTCTTTATGCACCAAGAGCTTGTAACACTCCAAAGAGAAAGGAAAAATTTCAATCGCATCATATGACCCCTTTAATAAATATTAAAATGGTATACAAATAATATTAAAATAGCACTAGATTTAGTAGGTTTTACTGTCTTTGCGGGACATCCAAGGCTGTCAAACATAGCAAAACCTGTTAAACGCTTAAAAAGCCACAGTAAATGCAAATATTTGACGTTTAACCTTCGTACTCACACATTGAAGAGGTTGAGTCCAATGCGGTAAAGGCGTTTGCGTGCAATATCCGTCGAGAGCGTGCCACAGGGTGTGTCCTGGCAATGTGGGCGGGGCAGAGACAGAATCATCGTCTCACACGCTGATGTCGAGGTGCTGCTGCTACTGACAGGCTCTGAGCTGTTTTCCGCTATCTCTGGTCCAATCTGGTTGGTCTTTTTCCCCTCCAGTCCCACCCCTGACGGTTCATCCGTTCCAGTTGGCTGTTGGTTCTCTTTCTCTTCCTCGCTGGGTGGTGGAGCTGGGAACTCAGGCTCCGCCGTGGCCGACGATGCCGACTGACCTGCGCTCTGTCCCCCCGTTTGGGGTTTCAAGCTGGTCTCCTTGGATACGCCGTTACCAAGGGAAACTGACTCCAGCATTGAGGAGGAGAGGCGAAAGTTGTGGTTGTCAATTTGGACAGTCACGTCCCTGAAAGCCATCATGAGTTTACTGGCGCTGCGGGGCATGCTCTCCCCACAGCTGCTCTGCGTGGTATCCTGTAGGGCAGCGGGGTCCATCAGGAGCCCCTCGGGATGGAATCCAGAGGGAGGGGCCGCAGTGGACTCTCCTTCCCCATCTCGAACAGAACTCCAGCTGTTCAAAGCCTCATCAATAGACCGTGCTAATGACTGAACCTGGCAGGGAGAATAGAATAGAATAGAATAGAATAAAATAGAAAAATGTGAATAATATAGAACAGAACAGAGCAACATATTTGAATAGTACAGAAGAAAATAGAATAAAACAACACATTGTAATAGAACAGAATGAAATGGAACAGAATACAACAAAAAAAATATGTAAATTGAATACAACCAAATAAAATAGAACTGAATACAACAGAAAATAACAACATATTTAAACTGAATAGAAGAAAACCAAATAGGATAAAACCAAATACAACTGAAAAGAACAACATATTTGAATAGAACATAATATAGAACAGAACAGAGCAACATATTTGAATAGTACAGAAGAGAATAGAATAAAACAACACGTAATAGAACAGAATGAAATGGAACAGAATACAACAAAAGAAATATGTAAATTGAATACAACCAAATAAAATAGAACTGAATACAACAGAAAATAACAACATATTTAAACTGAATAGAAGAAAACCAAATAGGATAAAACCAAATACAACTGAATAGAACAACATATTTGAATAGAATGGAATACAATAGAATATAATAGAACAAGATATTTGATTAGAATAGAAAAGAGCATAATGTAACCAAATACAACAGAACAGAATAAGATATTTGAATACAACAGAACAGAATAGAACAACATATTTTAATTGAATAGAATAGAATAAAATGAAATGCAACAGAACATAATCCAACAGAAACCAAATAGAATGGAACCAAATGCAGCTGAATAGAACAACACATTTGAATAGTACAGGATAGAATAGAACAGAAGAGAATAGAACAACATATTTGAGTAGAATTGAACAGAATGAAACGAAAGGACAGAACAGAACCAAATGCAATAGAATCAAACAATAAAATAGAATAAATAGAACAGAATAGTTTGTGTACTTGAACTAAACAAATTACAAAGACTGTAATAGAAATATGCTGAATATATAGCACAGAATTCATGCTGTACCGTGTATGTTGATGGTGTAACTGTACCTGTTCAGTGAATGTGTCCTCCAGGTGTGTGAGTGTGGTTGTTGTAGCCACCGGCAGTGAGGTGGAGTGTGTGAGCGGGATGCCCATGAGTGAACATCCCTCCATCAGCGCCCGTTCAGCGGAGAAACCATCCCTCTGTACCCGGACCCTGCGCACTGACATGCGCCGCGGGATCCCACTCTCCAGAACCGAGTTACGGATCTTCTGGAAGTTCTTACTGAGCTGGTACTGACGAAACGCCGTCTGGATCTTACAGGCCGCACGCCGGGAAATCAGAGGACCACCGTACTTCTGCTCCAGGTCCTCTATCTGCAGATAAATAGATAGATACAAAATTTTGACCCAAAAACGTATCGTTTCATGCTCTTAATATCTAAGAATCAGTATCACACGCATAGATGCGTGTCCGTTGGGTCGTACCTGTTTTTGTTTGAGATCAGGAGAGAGCTTATATTCTGGAGGATGTGAGCAGGGTGGCGCATCATGCTGGGCATCTTTTTTCTCATCTTTTTGTTCTGCAGCAGGAATCGAGCTGTGGTTTCAAATGACACAAGTGAGCAGTGGTTGACCCAGATTCACCGTCTTTTAATCTAGACTGATCAGAACCCACTGCACACTCAGGACTAATTAACTCTGCTTAATTACTATATGCAGGCTTTCACAGATTTCAAATTCAATGCATTCTTCATGGAAAATTAGATAATCAAGTGAAGGTTTCAGATCATCTTTCCGAGTCATGATTCAATTTTCAGAAACTGTTCATTGAATGAGACAGCAAAAATTGAATTAAAATAAAATGCCTTTATTCATTTTAGTTTTTTTAAACTATTCATTGAACAAATAAAACAAAAATTTAATTAAATTAAATTGTTTGAGTGTGTGTGTGTGTGTACACATACATATATATACACCCTCAGACACACATTTTTATATAAACATTTTATATATATTCTATAATTATGCATTATATAAGTCATTAAATCATTAAAATCAATAAATTATATATAATTTTCAATTATTTTATATAATATAATTGTATTCTATGTAATATTATATGTCATTAAATCATGAAATTGTTAAAATTAATTTTATTAAATATATGTGTGCATATATATTCACTAAATAATTCAAATGGATAAATAACATAATTTTAAATGTGAATTTTCTATGCATAAAAATGTATGTCTTTTATAATATATATTTGGTTACTCAAATATATTTAGAAATTGCAATGCAGAGGTTTCATATAAATCCCCAAAAAACAAATACTAAATCAAACCAAATATCCGAGGTTAGCACCCCACACAATCTTACATAAGCCCATACATGACAAAGCCATTTTCCACTTATGTAGAGCTCATGAAAAAGCATTTCTAAATGGAAAGCAGATGTTTAAATCATGAGAGATGTCACAAAGTACGTTCCTTCTGCTTAACAACACAGCTCAAGCCCATTTCCATTTTCTCCAGGTTCTCTCTCAGTGTAGACTCGGGTTTACAACACACACAAGCACACTGCTGACTGCATACACTGTCAGCACATTAGATGCTACCCTGGTGTAAAGGTCACTTAAGCTCTGTAAGCACTCATACATGAGGAGCAGAGAGCAGGGTTTTCCATCTTTCATGTGCCAAGTACTGCTCGCCTCTGAGGAACGACAGCAAATGCAGCAGAACCTTAAAAGAGAGCGAAAACAGACGCCAGTGCACACGGTCGCTACAGATCATTAGGCCGCTACGCAACTGATCTGAGAACCCAAACTGAAATGTGATATCACTCCTTGTTTGAGAGAATGTGTGTGAAGTGATGCAGGCAGCAAAGAGTTTGATGCCATTTCCTATGTTATGACTCAATAAATATGCTCTCTGTCTCTCTCAAGCTGTTTAAAAACAGGTTTCAACATCAAGAAACCCAGGCAGTCGATTTCTGCAAATAAAAGGTGAGAAACTACTGCATGCTTATATTTTCCCCATTAGTCCATCTTCTCTCTCACCAACCCCCATTCCTGATCATTTGGGAAATAACTGCCACACAATCACTACAGGCTTTCTGCGAAAATGAAAGCTGCTCTCTCCTGTTCATCAGTTAAATTGGCATCAATAAAACTTTATTAGTGGGGCTCACTCAGGCTTATGGTTACTTACTCATGCTTAGGGTTAGTGATTTAAACAAACTTTCAACAGAAAAATACTGTAAAATGCTACAGTGCAAATATTTAGTTAACTGTAACAATGTACCATGAAAAATTGTAAAGTTTAACATGACGTTATGTTTTGTTGTTGTTTTGCAAGTAATGTAATTTCTACAGAAAAAATACTATAAAATGCTATAGTAAAAAAATTGTAACTGTAAGTAACCATATACTGTGAAAAATTGTAAAAAGTTTAACATTGCACTACTTAGTAGGATAGACTCTACGTGACATCACATATGAATATATTTTGTATAAATAATTTAGTTTCTTCTTTTTTCAATGTATTGCTTTTTTTGTTGTTTCGCGTATTTGTCAAGTGGCTTTCAATCAAACCACCTGTATTATTTTTAGATATAAAATCTTTATTTATTTCTTTTAGATAAAAAACCTGCATTATTTTTTTTTACTGTCAATTTAACAATATTTTTACACTGTATTGCAGGTGAGAAACAAAGTGCACTCTGACTGCATGCTTATCTTGGTTCTTTCTTTCCTTTTTTGTCCACTTTCAACCACTCAGGACATAATTGGCACAAAATTAGAATAGACTTTCTGCAGAAATAAAGCTCCTCTTTAACATTTACCACAAAAATTGGAAAATATGATTCTGAGTTTTCTGTTAGGGTCAAAAAATAACAAGCACTTTCCGCTTTATCAGTTTGCTGCAAAGACGAGGTCATGATTTCTAAACATTTGGACACAAAAGTATAGATTTTCTGTTGTTTAGAACTGATTTTTTTTCACAGTTATCATGTGCTGTTTAATTAAGAATAGCTTTTACGACTTGGTTTTGTTGGCAACATAAAATATGCAGTCAACAAAGCTCAGATTGTTTGAAGTTCCTAAAATAGTGCAGAACTGCTACATTCACACATGCATTCACACACACACACACACACACACACACACACACACACACACACACACACACACACACACACACACACACACACACACACACACACACACACACACACACACACACACACACACACACACACACACACACACACACAGACTCTCTCCCCACCTGAGTGATGATGCTTATCCATGCCGAGAGCTTTCCAGTCTATCAGACAGAGGACAGACCAGGGTTAAACTACACCTGCAGCATGCACTAACTCTCTTTCTCACAAACACACACACACTTACACTCTGCTAGCTTGAATCCCATCACCCAGAATGCCTCAGGCCAAGAGAACAGGGGCTGCCATCAGAAAACCACTACCATTCAAGGATGGAATACTTAACTAATGCAGACTGCTGCGGTAAACAAGTAGATTCACACTCTCCTTACTGCATCGCTTGCTCATATTGTACATTTTATTTGTTTGGCATGTAGAAAGACTAACTCTCCTCTGATTGGCTCGTTACAGAAGATGACATCCTCACCTGGAGCAGGTTAAGGAGTCTCCCTCTGGGGCCTCTGGTGCGGGACAGCAGAACTGGTGCAGGATGGTCTGGCTCCTGTAAAGGTTCAAATCCACATTACTGCCATTAAATGCAATGCAACACTATTTACATGTTACTTCATTTGTGTTCCTTGAGCACTTGTAAAGATTGCTGTAGCTTAGTGTGATTATCCAGATTATCCAGATTATTGGCCACTCAAAAGTACCCTCAAAAAGTATTTAGGCATAAATTAAATATTTATGTATTTGAAATGCATATAGAATTTTCATCCATTTGGAAAACACAGTTTCAATATAAACTAGTAAACTTTATGTGTTGATGCATATTTGTCAGTCATACATAAATGAAATGGGTGAGATTTCTTCACTCAAAAATCTCTAACATTTTTAATAATTCAGTCTCTAATTCATGGAATGTTCTAGATGAGTTTTCTTTGAGCCCTCCGTTGTTGACAGCACATCAAATACGTTTGCTTCACACTCGAGCGTAACATGAGAATGTAAAGTGCTATTAATATAATCATATTTGCATATCACTTCCTTACAGTCCTGCTATTGTTATTATTATGTAATATTCACACAATTTCATAATAACACTTCCTCCAGTGAAAAGGTCCGTCCACTGTTGTCCTCTCACATCAAAATCCACATATTCGTTAGAACTGTTTTTGCTTGTAAATGGTGTTTGATCTGTGCATATTTCTCTCCTGATTCACATGAGATGACTTTATCACTGGCAAAAGCAATATTAGCAATGGTTTGAAGTTGAAAACATCATAATAATGGATTTGTTTATTACAAACTTGAAGTTTTTCACTTCACAAGATGTTAATTGATGGACTGGAGTGGTGTGGATTACTCGTGGTTTATTGGGATTTTTTATCAGCTGTTTGGACTCTCATTCTGACGGCACCCATTCACTGCAGAGGATCCATTGGTGAGCAAGTAATGGAATACTACATTTCTCCAAATGTATTTAGAAACAAACTCATCTACATCTTGAATGGCCTGAAAGTGAGTAATAATTCAGCATATGTTCATTTTTTACTTTTTTTTAATTAACTCCCACTCGCTAATAAAGATGCAACAGTCTCAAAATATACGTGTCATAACCAGACATGTTGGTGATAGTGATGTGAGATTAGCTTTAATGAGCTGCGTGCATGAGCATAATTGAGCCCTAAAACTCATTGGCAATGAGCGTCTCATACTTCCAGTAGAACTAAGCGCATTCTGCCATAAAAAAACAAACACACAACAAGGTAACACACTCTCAGACTCAGGACTAAGTGTTTTGTACCCTAAAGGACAAGATAATGCTACCATTAAACAAATCAGAGCAGAATGTATCATTACAGTCTTGCTTGTGGGGTTCACACACACACACACACACAGAGAGAGAGAGAGAGAGAGAAAGTACTCTACAAATGCAGCATGAGATGTGCACTGAAGCAGATGAGCAGTCGTAATAGGCGACACACACGTACACTCACACACACACCCACTCACTCAATCTCTCGTTCTTTCTCTCTCTTACTGTGGATTAGATTCCAGCTGGCGGATCAACTTCACATGCACTAAGGGAATGTCACTTAAAGCCTCACTTTACGCATAAATCTGTGTGTGCGCGTGAGTTTGCATGCCAATAAAGTGTTTTTAAGTGCTTTTAAAAATGCATTCTTGCTGCAAAATAATCAGGTGCATTAAAACCCTCTTTCTTAAGACCTTTTGCCCTGGAAAGAGTGAATGTGCTGAATTAATGATGACCTACAGTCATTTTTCTTCCATTTTAGAAAGTACAGTTAATTTAAGACTGCAATACACACTCATGCATTTATGCGCTGATAGACAAAGCATGCTGAATGATTTTATAAATACAAATCATCATGCTTTTTGTGATCCTGGAATTATTGATGTGCAATTGTATATTCACTGTGGCCTACATAGAGTGAAATTCCTCTGTTATGTAATCCTGATGGCACATGTAACCTGCCTCAACATCTCACCGATCTCATGGTTTCCTAGAGAAAAAAGACTTATTTGTTGAACATGTGTGATGAGAGCTTACTCAGATGCCCGTGGGAGTCTCACAGCTCGGCACAAGGTGGCAGGTGTCTGTGGGACCAGGGACCGAACTGCAGAGGATCCATTGGTGAGCAAGTAATGGAATACTACATTTCTCCAAATGTATTTAGAAACAAACTCATCTACATCTTGAATGGCCTGAAAGTGAGTAATAATTCAGCATATGTTCATTTTTTACTTTTTTTTAATTAACTCCCACTCGCTAATAAAGATGCAACAGTCTCAAAATATACGTGTCATAACCAGACATGTTGGTGATAGTGATGTGAGATTAGCTTTAATGAGCTGCGTGCATGAGCATAATTGAGCCCTAAAACTCATTGGCAATGAGCGTCTCATACTTCCAGTAGAACTAAGCGCATTCTGCCATAAAAAAACAAACACACAACAAGGTAACACACTCTCAGACTCAGGACTAAGTGTTTTGTACCCTAAAGGACAAGATAATGCTACCATTAAACAAATCAGAGCAGAATGTATCATTACAGTTTTGCTTGTGGGGTTCACACACACACACACACAGAGAGAGAGAGAGAGAGAGAAAGTACTCTACAAATGCAGCATGAGATGTGCACTGAAGCAGATGAGCAGTCGTAATAGGCGACACACACGTACACTCACACACACACCCACTCACTCAATCTCTCGTTCTTTCTCTCTCTTACTGTGGATTAGATTCCAGCTGGCGGATCAACTTCACATGCACTAAGGGAATGTCACTTAAAGCCTCACTTTACGCATAAATCTGTGTGTGCGCGTGAGTTTGCATGCCAATAAAGTGTTTTTAAGTGCTTTTAAAAATGCATTCTTGCTGCAAAATAATCAGGTGCATTAAAACCCTCTTTCTTAAGACCTTTTGCCCTGGAAAGAGTGAATGTGCTGAATTAATGATGACCTACAGTCATTTTTCTTCCATTTTAGAAAGTACAGTTAATTTAAGACTGCAATACACACTCATGCATTTATGCGCTGATAGACAAAGCATGCTGAATGATTTTATAAATACAAATCATCATGCTTTTTGTGATCCTGGAATTATTGATGTGCAATTGTATATTCACTGTGGCCTACATAGAGTGAAATTCCTCTGTTATGTAATCCTGATGGCACATGTAACCTGCCTCAACATCTCACCGATCTCATGGTTTCCTAGAGAAAAAAGACTTATTTGTTGAACATGTGTGATGAGAGCTTACTCAGATGCCCGTGGGAGTCTCACAGCTCGGCACAAGGTGGCAGGTGTCTGTGGGACCAGGGACCGACAGCAGGGGTCCTGAGCATCATTATCATCTTCATCAGCAGAGTCTGGACTGGCATTGCTGGGTCCCGCAGGCACGAGCTGCATGTCCAGGGGGGAATGCTGCTGCTGCTGCTGGGTTTGAACCGGAGGCGTCCCGGATCTGTTGATTCGGGGCAGGCTGGAGGTCCGGGGGGGCGGAGGCGGATGATAGCGGGGAGGGTGCCGGTGATGGCTGCTGGAGTCCCGGAGCTGCCCATTCTCAACCGCTAGATCCTCCAGCCGGCGCTCGAGTATGTCTATCCGGTATCGTTGGGTTTGAATCAGACTCTGCTGGTTCTGCACGATGGCGGTGAGCTCCTTCAGGTAGAGCACCGCCTGGAGAGGGTTCTCCAGGAGGCTCGACATCCCGGTGCGACGCTCCTCTTGAAAAAGCCGAGAAATGATCCGATCCAAGCGGGGCGTCTTGGAGTCAGAACCCCTGACCAGTTTCACGGGTTGATATTTAAATGGCTGAACCGAGAGAGAGAGAGAGAGAGAGAGACCCCCGCCTCCGCCTCCGCCTCCACCTCCGTGCCCAAGCGCGCAAGAAGGGATGCGCGGAGTGGTGCTGATGCGAGGATGTCAAAACACGGATCGAAGGGGGCGGGGATCGCCAGTGACGTCAGGGGGCACGCAACAGAGTTTGCTTAGATTATGTATCTCCTTTAGATTCGTTGTTAATAATACATCATTATTTATAAATTGTATCTTGTATGTACCTCGAAGGGGATCCGTTTGTATGCCTTTCAATGTTCAGTAAAAAATGAATCAATAAAAACTGGACTCGTGCTTAGTGTCTTATTTTATTGCTACAAATTTAGAATTCTGTTGCTTAGTTACCAAATGAATGTTCTTTTCCACCTTATTTTCAGAGTGCATTATTAGCACGACTGTTCATCACTAAGTAATGCCAAAGCGTCAATAATAATAATAATAATTATTATTATTATTATAGAGAAAACAAGGCAAAAATCATAAAGTTAATGATGGGAATGGTTCACTACTAACAAATCTGATCAAAACGCTTTCGTATATAGCCTACATGGAATATACAAAGACAAATGATTTTTGAAAGCTGGCTAAATTCATTCATAATTATTTTAATGTTCTTGCGGCCTACACAAATATACATCACGATAAGTGATATTAGAACAACAACAACAGCAACAAGAATTATAATAATACAAATGAAATAATAATAATACAATTATTAAACAGATGCTCAAAAGTGTCATAATGTCTCATACATTTTAGTGTCATTTTTTAGCATTTTAATAGACATTAAATAAACATTTTATTCATATTAATAATTTATTATTAATATTCATGTATATTTTAATAATGTATTATTATTATTAATAATAATAAACATTTATGTTTGATCATTTTATTATCCGTTTTCTCTCTCTCTCTACTGTTGTTACGCGCCGGCGTCAGGCGTCACGTGATCTGAGAGTGCGGAAGTTTTGATCCTGAAGGACTGAGCGCCTTCGAGCTGCTGGACGTTTGTGCTTTTGACATATAAATGGTCAGGTAAAGTGTTTCCTTTCTGTTTTAATAGCGATATTTCATAGGCATCCATTTGAGTTTCTGGCCGCTGTGTTTTGTCCATCGGAGAAAATCATTTTAAAATGAAACTCAGTGTCTTAATCAGCTGGTTTGTTTCAGGTAACTGTCATATGGTTATTATACTCTCTTATTAAAGGGCTTGCATTGCGACGCACAACATAATTCAGCTTCATGTGTGCGAGTCATCATGTGACTGTCATTCGTTTAGGCTGGATCAGTGTTTCATGTTGCTGTATTAGAGTCCCTAGACTGGACCTGTGTATCTGTGATGACAGATATGTTATTAACAATTCCAAAGGATATGAAATTTACATTTTCATACAGTGTCCCATGCATTATAAATAGTATGTGTGCTGCCAACTTCAGTATGCAGAGTATTTGAATGTTATATTATCAGTTTAGCTACTAACATGGCAAATTCTAACACTAGATAATTGAAAATGACTTAAGACTTTATATTTCACAATTGGCTTATACCGATTGAATGATTCTTTGGTTTGGGTTTGTGTCTGTGTATGTGTGTAGGATGACTCCGAAACGTTACCTGGAGGGACAGGTGTACTCTGTCCCGCTCATCCAGCCGGATCTGAGGAGAGAAGAGGCTGTGCATCAGATCACTGGTGCGTTACAGTACCTGGAAATTATATCAACAGACATCTTTTCTAGGTAAACACACATTTATTTATACACACTTATTCATAGTACAGACTAGAGTGCTTTTGAGTAGATCAGAGATCAAGAGAAATAAGATCAAGAGCCTAGAATCAATAATATTATACAGTAGCAGTTCACACAAACGTTATACATGAATGCTACATTTTGAGTTGCCATTCAGGTCTCAAAAATAAAGATTTTTTTATAATAGATTTATATACATTTTTTTTTTTTTTAAATCGTCATATATGTTGATGAAAATATGTTTAGCAACATATTTTAAATGTGACAAAAATATATATTTTCAGTACCTGGAAATTATATCAACAGACATCTTTTCTAGGTAAACACACATTTATTTATACACACTTATTCATAGTACAGACTAGAGTGCTCTTGAGTAGATCAGAGATCAAGAGAAATAAGATCAAGAGCCTAGAATCAATAATATTATACAGTAGCAGTTCACACAAACGTTATACATGAATGCTACATTTTGAGTTGCCATTCAGGTCTCAAAAGTAAAGATTTTTTTATAATAGATTTATATACATTTTATTTTTTTTTAAATCGTCATATATATTGATGAAAATATGTTTAGCAACATATTTTAAATGTGACAAAAATATATATATATTTTTTTGTTTTTACCAAACAATTATTCCCTATAAATAAATTATTAAATTTTTTATAATTATATGCAAAAAAATAAGAAATCAGGAAGGGGGCCAACACTTTTTCACACCACTGTATATATATATACACTACTGCTTTTTTTTAAGGAAATTAATCATTTTATTCAGCAAAAATGCATTAGATTGATCAAAACCAACAGTAAAATATGTATAATGTTACAAAAGATTTCTATTTCAAGTAAAAGCTTTTAAAACTTTCTATTCCAATAAATGGTTCTTAAGCAAATCAGCATATTATAATGATTTCTGAAGGATCGTGTGACACTGAAGACTGGATTTGCATCAGAGAAATAGATTACATATTTAAATACATTAAAATAGAAAACAGGTATTTTAAATTGTAATAACTATTTGAATATATTTTAAAATGTAATTTATTCCTGCGATGCTAAAGCTGAATTTCCAGCATCATTACTCCAGTCTTCAGTGTCACATGATCCTTCAGAAATCAGTATAATATGCTGATTTGCTGCTCAAGAAAAATGTCTTATTATTTCTCATTTCTTATTATTATCAATGTTGAAAACAGTTGTGATGCTTCATGTTTTTGTGGAATTCATGATGCGTTTTGCAGGATTCTTTGAATAGAAAAATAAAAAGAACAGCGTTGATTTGAAATAAAATCTTATTTATAGATGTCTTTACTGTCTCTTTTCTAATGTCATAGGAAGATTAAAAATTGTATTGTTTTTGAAGTTGAAATTGTCAATGTTGATGATGTAAACATACTGGTTTAAACAGGATTAATTATGAAACAGTTTTAATCACCAACAAATTAGTTTGACAAAGGCCTGAATTTAGAGTTCTGATCTAAATGTGTTCACCTGTATTCTGCAGCTATAGCAGAACCAATGACTTGGTTTGGTTTTGACAGGGTGTCTCAGAGCGTGGAGAAGAACCGTGTACACCTTCAGACCGTCACAGACCGGATCAAACTGGCTCAGGCCAGAGTCCAGAAGATCAAAGGAAGCAAGAAAGCCACAAAGGTGATGCAGATGATTCCGATTTCTGCAACAAATATTTGGAGCAGAAAGTGAATATGAGTTGTAGGGTGGGCATAAGCTAATGGTTAAATCACATCAAGAAATGTCTGGGTCATATTTTGACTAAATAACAAAAATAAACAATTTTCAGTAGCATTAAGATTTTTACTGCTCTACTGACTACTGAACTTCAGGAATTTTGTTCCTATAATAATTGTACTGTAAGTCACTTTGGATTAAAGCCCCAACTAAATGCCTAATTAATAATCATTGCACAGTACCGAGTGGTTATATGTCTGATGTGTTTGTGTAGGTGTTCTCCAGTGCCAAATACCCCGCTCCAGAAAAACTGCAGGATTATTCGTCCATCTTTACGGGTGCAGTAGATCCCGCTTCACAAAAGCGTCCTCGCATTAAAGTTCAGAGCAAGCTCCGCCCACTGGATGACAAGGCCCCACAGGTGAACAAATTTAGTCATCTGTCTTTCAGCTCCTCCTCCTCTCCTGCTCATTTTCAAGTGTATATGGCTCATATTTTGTTAAAAAATACATAATGAGAGAAAGTGAGAAAAACAATTAACATAATGAGAGGAAGTGAGCTCTTCAACTACAGGTTCAGCTGTCTCTCCTCTTTTTATTCTTTTGATTTTGCTTATTATTTAGTTTTTATTTAACATTAATTAAATAAACATTTTTAAATATGTATATTCGTTTGTCTATTAAAAAGTGATTTATTTCCATTTTTATTTCCAAAAATCATGGTAACAGAATTGCTATTGTAATGTTAAATGGAAATGAAAAAAAAAATGGAAATAAATATTTTAAAAAATTGATTAATTGATAAACAGTTGATTTAATTAATGTTTTAAAATGTAGTTTAAAATAATGAATACATCATTTTTTTTATTGAACAATTAACATATTTAAATTAACATATTTAAAACGGTTTAATTTATTTAACTGTTTATTTAATTAAATAAATAAAATAAAATTGTCAAATTTAAAATCAATTTAAAAATAAAATTAAAATAATTTTTAAATGTCACTTCTTAAATTTCATTTTGATAAACTGTTGGCAGGTTGCTTTTCATTGTTGTTTTGTTATATGCTTTACACATTTGCTTTATCCACGTTAAAAAAATGCCATTGGACAGTTCACTTTGGAGGGAAACCAGCATTTAACTCAATTTGATCAGCCACACAAGCACTTAACATTTGTTAATTGAGGATATTTGTGAAAATATCAGCATCAAATTTTCTTTATAAGAAGTTCTTTGTAGTTTCATGACTTTAAACGTTTGGTTTGTAATGTCAAATTACAGTGTAAAACTATCAACACAAATTTATATTACAAATATTTAATGAAATGTGTTTTATAGGAGAAGTTGATGTATTTGCCAGTATGCGTCAACACTAAGAAGCGCTCTGAGGATAAGACGGAGGAGGGTTTGGGAAGTCTGCCGAGAAATGTCAACTCAGTCAGCTCCTTATTGCTGTTCAACACAACAGAGAACCTGTGAGTACACAAACACCTACACATATTGACTGAATGCTGCACTGCCGATGCAACCTTATTAATGCTCATGTAATCATCGCTGTACGTGTTTGTGTATTTTCAGCTATAAGAAATATGTGTTTCTTGACCCTCTGGCGGGTGCCGTGACTAAAACACACACCACGTTAGAGAGTGAAAAGGAAGATAAACCGTTTGATGCGCCGCTGTCGATCACCAAGAGAGAGCAGCTAGAGAGACAGGTGAGCAGTTCAATCACACCTATGATGAAGCGATACACTGAAAACATCTTTCGTGCTTTCTTCTCAGACCGCAGAGAATTATTTCTATGTGCCAGACCTGGGGCAAGTGCCTGAGATCGATGTGCCATCTTACCTGCCTGACTTACCTGGCATCGCTGATGACCTCATGTACAGCGCTGACCTCGGCCCAGGGTTTGCACCATCCGTTCCTGCCAGCAGCAGCATCCCTGAACTGCCTTCGTTTGGCACAGAGCACGATGAATCTAGTGGATCTGGTGGGATCGTTATTTATTATTTTTTGAGAAATTAATTTATAATTATGTCATTTTGAAAAATATATCATTATATGTGAACCTGGAGCACAAAACCAATCTTAAGTAGCACGGGCATATTTTTAGCAATAGCCAAAAATACATTGTATGGGTCAAAATTATCGATTTTTCTTTTATGCCAAAAATCATTAGTCCGCCCCCACCTCCACCAATCACAGCAGACAGCACTGATGTCGCATCAAGTCAAGCCCCTCCCACAGGTAAAAGACTCTTTTTCAGAATTATCGACAGTCTATTTAGCAATGGTTAAGTGTTCAAAAATCTTTTTTTGTCCATATACACTAACATTCAGCTGGTGGTAGGTAAGTCTCACCAAGGTTGCATTTATTTAGTCAAAAATACATTAAAAACAGTAATACTGTATAATAGCTGTTTTCTATTTGAAAATGTCATTTATTTCTATGATGCAAAGCTGAATTATCAGCAGCCATTACTCCGGTCTTCATTGTCACATGAATCTTTTCTTAATATTATCAGTGTTAAACTATATTTTTGTGGAAACCGTGATACATTTTTTTCAGGATTTTTTGATGAATAGAAAGTTCAAAGAACAGCATTTATTTGAAATCGACATCTTTTATAGCATTATAAATGTCTTTAATGTAATTTTTGATTAATTTAATGTATTCGTGCTGAATGAAAAATTTATTTTTCAAAAAAGAACAAAAATCTTACTGACCCCAAACTTATGTATGTTAGTTTATGTCAACCGCTGTCTTTCGTGTTCGTGTGTATCAGGTAACAATGTAATAATCTTTTGCTACTTGTTATTCTCCTGAAATATGCACTGTTTGCTGCAGAAAATAACAAAGGCAAATTTTTTAATGTTTATCAAAGAAGTCTCTTATGCTCATCAAGATTTAATGATCCAAAATACAGAAAAAAACAGTAATATTTATAAATATTATTACAATTATAAATTACCGTTTTCTATTTGAGCATATTTCAAAATGTAATTTATTCCTGTGATGCTAAAGCTGAATTTTCAGCATCATTACTCCAGTCTTTAGTGTCACGTGATCCTTCAGAAATTATTGTAATATGCAGATTTGCTGCTCAAGAACCATTTCTTATCAATATCAATATCAATGTTGAAAACAGTTGTGCTGCTTAATTTTTTTGTAAAAACTGTGATACATTTCTTTCAGGATTCATTGATCATTAGAATTCTTTAGCAACATTATAATGTCTTCACATTCACTTTTGATACATTTATTGCATCCTTGTAGTGTAACATTCATTAAAAACAAAAAAAGGAATTTTTCTCTGCATAACCTAACAGTTGTGTTTTTTTCCAGTTGGGGCAGCAGTGAGCGGTGGAGACCTGATGTCTGACCTCTTCAATAAATTGGCCATGCGCAGGAAAGGTGCGTTTGAAACCTTCGTTTTAGCCTCAGTCTCAGTGTCTTCATCCTACCTGATGCATTTTTCATTGTGAATATTTGACAGGGATCTCTGGCAAGGGCCCAGCGGGCAGAGACTCATCTGAAGCACCTGCCAACTCCGGTGGCGCGTTCGCCAGGATGTCAGATGTGATCCCGCCCCTTCCAGCGCCACAGCAACCGGCCGCAGACGATGAAGGTGATTGGGAGGCATAACCATGGCAACCCAGAGTTGAGTGCGAGATTCGAGAGTTGAAATCCTCATAGACAGGGTCTGGAGATATTGTCTCTCCAAGGAGAGCTGTGGAGTGCTGAGTGAGACGTTTGCTCTTTTATCAAAAGTGTAAGAGGATGTGTTCTATATGTCATTAAAACCTTTATAGTCTGAAAGATTATATTATTAAAGTTAACGTGACATCTAAATTCACACTATTTACATTCTTCATTCACATCAGTGCAAATTATTTCAAAATTGTGAAAATCTTTCAAGCAAATTGAATAACTAATATTTTTATAATATAATATTATATATTATATAATAATACTACAATAATAGTATTAAGTAATAGCATTATATATCTGTCTAAATAAAAAACAAATATATAATATAATTTATTTTAAAAGGGTCATATGATGCTTTTTTAAAGATCATTATTTGGTGTAACAGAATATGTTGACATGCTTTAATGTTCATTATTTTTCAAATACTGTACATTATTGTAGGTCCTCTATGCCCCGCCTCTCTCAAACGCTTCGTTTTCTACAAAGTCCCTCCTTCCGACAAGCGCAGTCTGCTTCAACACTAACTGCGGTTACTGAAACCACGCCTTTCTTTGCGTGCACATTTGGGCGGCATTATGCAGATATTTCCACATAGTGAGGTAGATATGTGGGGGCGTGTTAGAACGAGCCGTTTTAGGGGGGCGTGGCAGTCTTAACTTTGATAAAGAATATCTCTTTGGTTTTGAGACTTTAGTCTTTGCAACTTCAGGGATCTTATCTATGCACAATCAGCTTGTAACACTCCAAAGAGAAAGGACAACTTGAAATCGCATCATATGACCCCTTTAAAGAACAATACGATAAATAATACTATTATTTCTGACTGACTTAATTTTTTGGCTTTCAAATGTTAAGCGATAGAGCTTCAACTTGGCGGAAAACCATTAAACATTTTTTTAAAAATCCATATAAATATGGAAAAATCCCATCCCTGATGCATACTGTACATAGAATTCCTGGATGAGCTACGGTATGCAGCAGGGCACATGCTATCCCACAATGCAATGTGCTTGACTTAACCTTTCATTTCCACTATGATGAATGAACTGGAAGTTCAGAAAAAGTTGATATTTTAACAAAAATTTGGATTGAAAAAGTCAACATGACTCTAAATTCAGCCTATCTGCATACTTCATTTGTGTTTCTGATCATTTATGTATGATTTATTAAAAATTTCAAGATGCATCTTTGCAATCTTTCATCAAAATTTTGTAACTAAATGACTTTCCTTTTCATCTGATGTCATCTCATCCACACAAGCAATTGGTGGATTACCCACTTTAAATCTCACATTATGGCTAGTATTATGTTGACTTTAATAATTAATTGCACTTTTTTATGAACATTTTTCACTACTCGTGAACATTCAAAATAATGTGACAAGTTGATGGTGAAATAACTAATGTTCCATTAAGGAAGAAAATAATGTAAAAATATTATGTGTTTTTTTTTTTTTTGGTGTTTTACATGCTCTAAAACATCTCGGGTATTAGTAGCTTTAGTACAGACAATAAACTCGAATCTACTATGATTGTTGTATCCCATCTGAGCGAGTCTTTTGGCTTCACATTTTGGATTACAAACACAGAAACCGATCGTCTTGTAAACAGTCCGCTTTAATTTAATAAAAGTCAAGAACTGAACCAAAAACACATGCTGAAACGCAGAACCTGAGGACAGAGGCAGCAGAACTCTGCTTCAATAATTCACAAGGCCAGAGTAGTCAAACAGACATCCATAATGCAGGACACACCGGAGTATTTGTACACACGCGGCTCGGCTCGGCCCTGTCGAGTCGATGGCCTCAGAGCGGCGGTCTCTGTTGCTTCTCCAGGAAGAACTGCGGAATCAAATACAGGATCAGACAGGGAGCATACGGCTAACAAATCATCCTCATCTTGTCATCCTTCACTTCCTGTCATTAGAACAGCCCTGCTTACAGAGAGCACAGCTGGAGATCATCTGTCTCATTAAAAGAGACGCACACGAGCTCTCATTCACACTTCACATGCTCCTGTCTATCACAATGACATTCTGTCTATTATTTGACTAATTAAGCTGAATGCATCAGGCAAGGGATCAGCTAAAGATTTCCATTTTCAATATAGACTATACAATAAATAAATATTATTCAAAATTTGTATTTTATTGCACAATTATAATTTTAAATTGTAAATGATATCATTTATACAATTAATTTTACATTAAAAAAATTAAATCAATAAATGCACACTATGTACAGTATGCATCAGAGATGTGATTTTTCCATGTATGAATTTTTGTATTTTGTAAGTGGTTTTCTGGCAAGATTTGAAAGATTTTAAAAAGCAAAGAAATAACGACTGTCATAAATAGTAGCATTGTAAGTTTTCTGTTGTTCTTTAAAATAATTATTATTCTTATTAAATGTTTTTTTTATTTTATTTTACAGAACAGAAAAATTACAGTATTATTTGTTATGACTATCTTTATTTCTTTGATTTCAAATGTTGTTTATTTTCACGGAAAACCATTTACAAAATACATTTACATTTAAATGTAAAGATCACATCCCTGATGCATAATGTACATAGTATGCATAGAATTTCTGGATGAACTAGTGTACAGCAGAGCACATGGTATCCCACAATGCAATGTGCTTGACTTGACCTTCCATTTCCACTGAATGAGCTTGAAAGTGAAATCAACTGCAATTTTGAATCTTATTGACTTAAATTTTGCTAGTCCATTCAAATATTAAGAACAAAAACTGGATTGAAAATGCTAAATGTGACCCTGGACCACAAAAACCAGTCATAAGGGTAAATTTTTTTAAATTGGGATTTATACATCACCTGAAAGCTGAATAAATAGCTTTCCATTGATGTATGGTTTGTTATGATAGGACAATATTTGGCAGAGATACAACAAAATCTGGAATCTGAGGGTGCAAAAAAAATCTAAATATTGAGAAAATCGCCTTTAATGTTATGCAAATGAAGTTCTTAGCAATGCATATTACTAATAAAAAAATAAGTTTTGATATATTTACGGTAGGAAATTTACAAAATATCTTCATGGAACATGATCTTTACTTAATACCCTAATGATTTTTGGCATAAAAGAAAAATCGCTAATTTTGACCAATACAATGTTTTTTTGACTATTGCTAAAAATATACCCCAGCGACTTAACACTGGTTTTGTGCTCCAGGGTCACAAATATTAATTTCTGAGATGATAACAGAATACTTGCTGTATAAACATGCAAAGTAAAAAATCATGTGACCACAGTAATACTGTTTGAAAGTGTTACATGCTCTACATACTACAAAAGTAGGCAGTACATACTACATACTGCACAGTGTGCTTACCCTCCTGATGCTGGCGAAGGCGGGACCAAATGTCGTGTGCGTGTGCGTGCTGGATCGAATCCATTCTGGGAGTTTCTGCAGCGTGCCAGATCGGGCGTACCGCTGGTCGCACAGCATAATACATGCATAATCACCACGGTGACGGATCGCACGACCTGTGTGAGGTGAAAAGGCCAAAACAAAGTGAGAAACTGAAGATTTACTCCAATATTACACATCTCAAAGACAGCAGCTTGCATACTAGTCTTATATAGAATAAATAATAAATGAACTATGCTAGTCTGCTATTCTAAAATCAGACAATCTGCATTTGTTTATTCTTTGTTAAACACAGCATTGAATTACAGGAGTACTGGCTCCACCTACCAATAGATTGATTGACAGCTTTCATGCACAGATTCTCAATCAGTGCCTTCCCAGGACTTTTACCACCAACGTGAGGCTGAAACAGATGGGAGAGAGTTAGAAATGGCAGATTCGTCCCACAAGTTCCCATTAGCACCATCCTGTAGTAAGTCTCACCATGTGCTTGTCCAGGTAAGCCATCTTCTCCTGCAGCTCTGGTGACTTTATGTTGGGATACGGCATTCCAACCATAACAATGCATCTAAACAAAAGCACACATGCAAAATTATTCATTCAATGATTCAAAATAATACCCTTTTACATGCTGTGCAGAATACACTAAATATAAAAAAAAACAGTAAGTGAAGCAGTATGCATCAAGCATTATTTTAGTATAATTAATATAGTATTTAATAATATTAGTAGTAGTTTTATATTTTCCATTTATTTAAGTTTTCCGTTTTAATTTTTTTTAGTTTTAGTTGATTTTTATTCTTTTTTAATTTTAGTACTTCAAACAAAAATCCTTAAACTAAACAAACATTGAAAAAGCTGCCTTTGCAAATAATTGAAATAAAATAAGCTACATTTTAACATTTTATTATCATTATAATATAATGATTTTTTTTTTTTAATTTTAAATTTTTATCTTGGTTTAAGTTTTAGGCTACGTCCACACGAAGCCAGAGCTTTCCCTATCCGGTCTTTTTTGTCCCCTCATCTCAAGAAATATTTGCGTCCACACGAAACCACAAAACTGACACAAAACTATGTAGTATACATGCCAGACCAGTATGTGGCGCTGTAATTCTGCCACAGAGATACACTAAAAACGGAGAAGATGACTTGGACTATGCGCATAAACCTTGCGCGTGGTATACAAACGAACATGGAACAATACATTTATTAATCTGTGTTAATGTTAGTTAATAAAAATACAGTTGTTCACTGTTAGTTCATGTTAATTCACAGTGCATTAACTAATGTTAACAAGCACAACTTTTGATTTTAATAATGCATTAGTAAATGTTGAAATTAACATTAAGATTAATAAATGCTGTAGAAGTATCGTTCATTCTTAGTTCATGTTAACTAAAGTATTTAACTAATGTTAACTAATGAACCTTATTGTAAAGTGTTACCGTTTTTGATGGGGTTTTTAAAAAAAAAATTTGTTCAATTATTTTCATAATTTTTAGTACTTCAACTTAAAAAAAAAAAAAAAAAAGGAAATGTCATGGAATGTGGGAGGAAGAATATGCTTACTTGATTACTTTGACTTTTATTCACTATCCACACAAATATTCAAGGAATAGTTGACAAAAAAATTAATAAATGACAACGTCATTATTCACTCACACTCATGTTGTTTCAAAACCTTTATGCTGTTTCTTTGTCTTTTTTTTTTTAGTGGAAAATAGTCAAAGCTAATGTGTGACATCACATGTGTTCACACCCATATGATGCCCATTTTGAAATCTGGACATAAATTCAGGCTGGACTCAAAGTATGGAAAATTTTTTTCAAAATTTTTAGTACTTAAACTAAAAAAAAAAAAAAAAAAGGAAATGTTGCAACCACTCAAGATAATTTCCATATAACTAATTGAAATGAGTATAAATACATTTTTTTAAATAGTCTTAGTTTCAGTTAATGAAAATAATAGTAATGTATGCTATATTGTATATGCAACGAAACATTCTATATTGTTTTCATGTCGTAGTGTGCTTCATTGTATATGGCACATCTTTGGGTATTTATGCATACTGCTTACAGTATACATACTGCAAAAATAGTATGGCATGCTATTCTGAACAGTTTTACCTGCCCAGGTCATCAGAGAAGTTGATTCCTTCACTCATTTTCCCTCCCACTACAGAGAATAGCAGAGCCCCTGTCTGGCCACTTCCGGCATTACTGCAGCGCTGCATTAACGTAACAAACCATAACACGTCATTAACTGTAGATATAAACAGTCAGACCTGCTCTCATTTACTTTTTAGTATAGTAGTATTCACACACTAACACACCTGTATACACTTGGAATAGTCACTGAGCACTTGCTCAACCTGACTGGCTTTTTTCGGCTCCTGGAAAATCTGAAACACACAAAGACCATCTTAATTCGAGTATAAACTGACTTGGCATGGTAGTACCGGTGTTTGTGTACCTTCTTCTTAGACTGGAGCCGCTGAAGGATGCCAGTACTCTCCCAGTGTCCCAGAATCCTCTTCTCATATTCGTAGGAGGGGAAGAAACAGACCACGCCCCCAGGCACTATGTTACAAAGGTTTGAGAGAACACGGCCCGTCTCCTCCATCTGATATAGAGAACAGGTATGAAGATCATGCAGAACATATTTTGGGGTTATTTAAATTTTTTTCCATTCTACTCTATCTGTTTTGAAAGAAGTCGCTTGTGCTCTCCAAGGCTGCATTTATTTGATCAAGAATACAGTGAAAACAGTAATATTGTGAAATATTATTACATCTTAGAATAACTCTTTTCAATTTCAGCTTGACTTGATATGATATCTTCATTTTGCATTTCAAGTAAATGCATCTTGATTTAAAGATGTTTAGATATTTGTACTGGAAAACAAGACAAAAATATTGACAAAGATATTCATTTTTGCAGTGCATGCAACATTTAATGCCATGACTACGAATTTAAGACTTTCTGCTCCAATTTAAGAACTTTTAAGGCCTTTTAATGACAAATTAAGACTTTTTAAATTGTAAGTGTACAACTGATGATCCTCTGTGGCCATCATTTAAGATAAGCAGATTTTTGTTGTGTTTGCATGCAACCATCTGTGGTAGTTTTAATTTGCTCTTGTAAGTTTTACCATCTGTGGTGTGTCTCTAGTTTGAAAAGTGAACTCCAACTGTTGTCCCGAGGGGCCTGCGCAAAGGACTATGGGTAGGATGTTCTCAGGGGGTATGACATGACCTGAAGCCATTATGCAAGAGTTACACACATAATCAGCAACACTGCAAAACATAGCAAGAAGAAATGTGCACAATAACGTAAACTCACCACATGAGAACTCTAAAATACTGTCTTCAGTGACCCCGGCGGAAAATAGAAGCTGCTCTTTAAAATCAGCAACCTGCAAAGCATTAACACAAAATCAGTCTTGCTTTGAGCATGCTATTCTACACTCTGAAAGTTGGCCATCATTTAAGATAAGCAGATTTTTGTTGTGTTTGCATGCAACCATCTGTGGTAGTTTTAATTTGCTCTTGTAAGTTTTACCATCTGTGGTGTGTCTCTAGTTTGAAAAGTGAACTCCAACTGTTGTCCCGAGGGGCCTGCGCAAAGGACTATGGGTAGGATGTTCTCAGGGGGTATGACATGACCTGAAGCCATTATGCAAGAGTTACACACATAATCAGCAACACTGCAAAAGATAGCAAGAAGAAATGTGCACAATAACGTAAACTCACCACATGAGAACTCTAAAATACTGTCTTCTGTGACCCCGGCGGAAAATAGAAGCTGCTCTTTAAAATCAGCAACCTGCAAAGCATTAACACAAAATCAGTCTTGCTTTGAGCATGCTATTCTACACTCTGAAAGTCTTTAATATGTCCGTTTAAGGTTATATAACTGAGACAGCTGTGTCACTGTGTCCAATAATGCCTGTGAAGTTTGTGCGTGTGTGTGTGTGTGTGTGAGCTGACGGGCTGCATGGTTCCCCCGGCGATGATCACAGCTCTGCACTCCTGGACGATCTGTGTGAAGTGAACTGCGGCGTTCAGCAAGAGAAACTTCAGACTGCTCTGAGAAAGACATGCTGGAGGAAGAAAGGAGAATTATGCGTGAGAGGACATTTTCATTTGTTTTTCTATGTGCATGTGATCGAATACTCACTAACCCTGCCTTTGTATCATCACTCGTCCGTCTTTGTTGGCGTTAGTGAGGGCAAACAGGAAACTTTCAACCAGCATCATTGGAGAAGCCATGATTGGTTTGTCTTCTACTGCCATCTGCTGCTCTGAAACCATCAAAACCACACTGTTTCTCAGTGTAAAACCAGGGTGAATGGGGAAGTACATGTTGACTGAGACCAGACTGTACCTGTAGGTTTGTTCTGAAGCGTCTGCAGGAAGCGTCCGAGTCCTTCTATGCGACGGTTCTCTTTGTTCTTAGATACGGTGTGTGTGTTTACACCACTGCCTTCGTATTTCTCCACAAATCCACACAGCTACACACAGGACACGGATCATCAGTGTGTGTTTGTGCGAATTTTTTTCAAATGGAGTCATAAATGTGTTCTCGTACTCACCTTATGGCTGATCATGCTCTTCTCGAAATATTTCTGAACCTTCAAAAAAACAGATTAATCCACATTAAGAACTCTACCAATGTCAAATTCAACAACAACAAAAAAAATAATACATTTGAATAATAATTAATACTAATATACATACTAATAAATATATTAACATATATACTAACTGTATATATAAAACCCAAATGAGAATGTTGCATTGGCAGCTGTCTGAAAAATAAAAATAAGTTTAATTAATAAAATTACTAAAACTGAAATAAAAAAATAATTAAAGCTAATTGGAAATTTTTTTAACTAAAAATGAATTTTAAAAAATGTAACTGAAAAGTTTAAATATAAAAATAATAATAATATAATAGTAAATAAATAATACTGACTCTGTGTAGTATTTTAAATAAATAAATATATTTTTTATAATTAATAATAATAATAGTCAGTGAAGTTGGTGCAGTGTTGTTATTGTCAACAAAAACTATTAAAAATAGTTTTTGTTAATTGAAAAAAGCTAAAATAAAATACAAATATTAGATGAAAAAAAAAACTAATGAGAAATGTTGCACTGGCAGCTATCTGAAATAAAATGTTGAAGTTGAATTACTAAAATTGCTACAACTAAAACTGAAATAAAAATAAATTAAAGCTAAATAGAAATATTAAACAAAAAATAAAAAAATATTCAATTATAAAAATAAAAGCTAATTAAAAATATTAATAAATATAATAATATATAAATAATACTGAGTCGTGTAGTACCTTAAAAAGGTTTATGTTATCAACTTGAGCCTTAAACAGGAAGTCATTGATAGTCAGCAGCTTGCTTCCTGTTGTGAAAAGAAATTCAAAATCAAAATAATTTTTTTTTTAAATACTTCATAAAGGACGAAAACACTTAGGAACGAAAAGTTTCTTGAACTTTGCGTGCGGGTTGTGTTTGTTTACCTGGTTGGCAGGACTGAGTGTTTGGATTCTGACCCACTTTACCTGTTAACAGGAAACCACAGCAATAAAGCAGCTAGATAAAATGAGATGGAACAAGATAAAATACACAAACAAAACAATATGTCATACAGCTGACCTCCAAGTGTGCGCACAAGGCCCTCCAGCACAAAGAGGATCTGTTTGATGTACATCAGATTTTTAGCCTTCAATCGACTTCTGCAACCATACAACACTATGATATTTACATTACATCACAATGATAATGTGACCTTATGTCTAAAAACATTACTTTAGTAGCTAGCAGACTTAAATTTCACTTTAAATGAATACAGCTCAACAGCATAATAATAATAAATGTTTCTTGAGCAGCATATTATACTGATTTCTGAAGGATCATGTGACACTGAAGACTGGAGTAATGATGCTGAAAATTCAGCTTTACATCACAAGAATAAATGACATTTTAAAATATATTACAACAGAGAATAGTTATTTTAGACTGAAATAATATTTCACAATATTACTGTTTTTAATGCACTTTTAAAACAAGCTTTGGTAGCTTTAATAAACATTTTTGACAGCATCAGATCGATTTATTTTCATTGCGTGAACATTCTGCAAAAGTTCTCCTTTTGTGTTCCACAGAATAAGAAAGTCATATGGGTTTGGAACAACTTGAGGGTGAGTAAATACTAAACTTTACCCTAAATTAGATGTACAGAATGTTTGAAATGTGTGTTTTTACCTGTAGCGCTCACTGTACTGAGAGAGCTGTGAATGAGCCCTGCAGAACTGAAACATAATAAACACACATCAGTTAACAAGTCTGAGTTCACTAGATCTGATCAGTGAGTATGTGTGTCCATGTACCTGTGCTCCACTGACTTCTGCACTGTGTATGGCTGAGATGGTGTCAGTCAGATTATGAGCCTCATCTATAATGACAATCTGATCCTTTAGTTTGATCCCAGATGCTTTACGGGTGGAAGCATGGAGCAGCGACTGATATGGCAACACCACCACCTGAGAAAGAAAGAGAAAGATTGAATGCACAGGGTTGTATATGAGCGAGAGTGTGTTGCATCAGGTGTGTGTGTACCTGTGCTGCAGGTATGGCCATCCGTGTGCTGTAGTAAGGACACGTGTGTGTCTCCCGGCCGTGCTGCAGGAGCTGCTCCACGTCTCGCACCTTCACCAGCACCTCGTCCCTCATCGCCATCAAACTTTCAAAACCTGAGAAGGGACAAGTTGCCTTGGCAACGCCGCGGCGACGTTTCGTCTCAGAGTCTGGCGCCTTTTCTTGTTTCTCTGCAGATGGAGGTCAGAACTTCAACATTGAGCTCATGTCATTCTCGCCTGATTATGTTATCATTGGGTCATTAGAATTGGCAGCAGAGATTGTGTTGACGTTTCTGACCGTGTTTGTTTTTCTGCATTTCTAAACAGCGGTCGTTCATCATTTGGACGTTTCCGAGCCGGATGACCTCTGGATTAATGCACAGGTTCTATAAATGACAAAATGACAATCTAATTGCCCCTTTATGGATGCATAAGAATTTATTGTTGAAAATTGGCCTAGCATTGTGGCAGCACTCATTTTCTACAAAAAAAGTTCAAAATCTAAAGTTTAAAAATTAATTAAAAAATGTGAAAGCATAATTCTTGTTATAGACACTTATAATAAAATTGTTGGTAACACTTTATTTTAAAGTGTTACATGTACTTACTATTATAATAACAATTAATTATGCATAATTACATGCAAGTAACCCTAAGACAAACCATATAGTAAGTACATGTAGTTAATTAATATTACTCAGTACTTAAATGTATAATTGCACTGTTACAAGGACACCTTAAAATAAAGTGTAACCAAATTGTTTTATATCATATTAAATATTATATTTTATTAAAACTGATTATAGAATAAGCATAGTATATACTACTGTTCAAAAGTTTGGACTCTGTAAGATTTAATTTTTAAGAAATTAATACTTTTATTCAGCAAGGATGCATTAAACTTATCAAAAGTGACAGAAAACAAACAAAATATTTCTTTTTCAAATAAATGCTGTTCTTTTAAACTTTCTATTTATCAAAAAATCCTAAAAAAAAAAAGGTTTCAATAAAACTATTAAGCAGCACAACTGTTTTCAACATTGATAATAATAAGAAATGTTTCTTGAGCAGCAAATCAGCATATTATACTGATTTCTGAAGGATCATGTGACACTGAAGACTGGAGTAATGATGCTGAAAATTCAGCATTTCATTACAAAAATTAATTACATTTTAAAATATATTACAATAGAAAACTGTTTTTTTAATTGTAATAATATTTAACAATATTACTGTTTTTACTGTATTTTTGATTAGATAAGTGCAGTCTTGTTGAACCTAAGAGACTTATTTCAGAAAAATTAAAAGACTACAATCTTTTAAATGGTGGTATATGTATAGTTATTGTTAAACTGTTTTTAATTAAAAGTGATAAAAGAATCACAATAACAATTCTGTGGGCATCTTTACCTGTCTGGAGCCCAGGTTAACCAAGCGAACAGCGGCCCCGTATGGACTCTTCTGCACCTCGTGGACAAACTGAGCCAGCTGAGAGTGAGTTCGGCTACAGTAATAAATCTAAAGATGTAAAAAAAAAAATTTTTAAAACCTTGTTAAACATGCATAAGCACCTTGTTCACTAATGCAGGGTGGAAAGTTTACGCATGCACCTTAGTGACATGATCCTCCTCTAGATCTTCGTCGTCGTCCTCATCACACAGCCTGTGGAGGAAACCCTGAGAAATCAAAGCTGGAAATGACACACAAACTCATGCAGTCATCCACACACACAATCAATACCTGCTCTTGGGCGTGGCTTCATCATCACTCTCATATTCTGCTACAATAAGCCCCTCCTCCTCTGGATTGAGTGTCTCTGACTCCGCCCCCTCTCTGCTGAGCTGCAGTAGTTTTACAGCCTCATCATCTTCGCTGGCCTGATAAAGGTCAAATAAGCAACCTGATACTTTTACTGGGTAAATGTAATGTCTATATGAGCAACTGAAATAGCAGATCCATACTCAAATTATTGATTTGTGATGAAACTTTCAATATTCTTCTTTTTTTTTTTTCTAAATCATAAAACCTTGTATATTTCCAAGTGTAAATGATTTTTTTTTTTTTAAACTCAGATCCCACTGTTCATGCACTCACTTTTCTCTTCATGGCATATCTGAGCTGGGCATTGTGTCGGATCGTCTCCAGTCTGTCCTCTCGATTGATTTGTGATGAAACTTTCAATATTCTTCTTTTTTTTTTTTCTAAATCATAAAACCTTGTATATTTCCAAGTGTAAATGATTTTTTTTTTTAAACTCAGATCCCACTGTTCATGCACTCACTTTTCTCTTCATGGCATATCTGAGCTGGGCATTGTGTCGGATCGTCTCCAGTCTGTCCTCTCGCTTCTTCCGTTTCAGCTCTTCATCCTGAATGAAATTGAGGACAAGCATGATATTTTTTTTAAACCACTTAGACAGGGGTTTACAATTTTTTAGATGCCATATTTTTTTATAAAGCAGCTAGATATTTTAATATGTATTATATATATATATATATATTACTTTATAAATAATTAAATGAAAATATTCAGGTTTTTCTTTCACATTGCATTATTAGATTTTTCTACTTTCTATAGTACTATACTGTTAGATGTCATATTTAATTATTTGATTTTTTTAAACCAAATTTTGAATTTATTTTAAAATATTTTTAACAAAATGATTTAATTTTATTTATTTGTCTTTGTAAAGACCCTATTACTAAAAATATATATATATATATTATTAGGAAAATATTTCTTTTTTTAACATTATTATAATTTTCTACTCACTACTGTTAGATGTATCATTTATACATTTATTTGATTATTTTAAGCATTTTTGTTCATTTTAATATATACATTCATTTTATTTATTTGTATTTATACACCGCTTTTCTTTAAACGTTTTCACTTGTATCCCTTTTCTTGCACTACCTAGGTTTGATGAACTGTAAAAGGCACCTAATGGTTCTCATACCTTTAACTTGTTCACCATGTCTCTCTCTGCTTTCTTCTGCACAAACTCAGACACCCAGGCTGGCTCTGATGGCTGGCTGGTGCTGTTCTCCTCCTCCACAGCATCACACTTCTTCTCCGGTCCATCCAGAAGTCTAGCAGCCTCCAGTTTCTTCTGCTCCTCATAGTCTCTCAGCCATGTCAGTGCACCACATATAAGACTCAGAGATTTTCCCTGCAGGATCACACACAAGAAAGCTCAAACATCCACCATCATCTAACCTGAGAAAGCGAGATGAGCGGATCTCGAGCGCAGACTGACCGTGCCAGTGGGACTCTCGAATATACCGACTTTCCCCTGATCCAGAGCAGTGTAAAGGGCCTCCATGAAGCTCTCCTGGATGGGATAGGGCTGGAAAGGGAACGGAAACCGACTACTCTTGCTCTCCATGATCAAGTCAGACTGCTGCACGCGCCACACAAACTGAATTTGGCCGAGTTACACACTGACAATAAACTCCTCAGTGTCAACGGAACATGACTTGAGTCCATATATAAATCTGTCGCTTTCCCCGTGTAATTATATTGACAGCACAGATGGCTGTAAAGAAATATCACATGTAATTTAACATTAAAAAACCCTCGTTCTGACAGCGTAAACTTCCTCGAACGAGCGCGCCAGTCTTCTGCTTCAGCCAATGAAAACGAGGGAAAACTTCACAGAGGATAGGGACCCGCATCAAATGTCACTCTTTCATGAAAACCGAAATAAGAAACGCCAGATTTTCACCCTTTCTAGAAAGTCCTCTGTTGAATTTCAAGAACTATCATTCTTTTATTGAAACATCGGTAATGTTTTCTGTTTATTTAATATTTGTATTGTATTTATTCTGTTTTATTGTATTTTATGATCTATCTCAGTGTTAATTTAGTATTATTTATCTACTATTATAGTATTTATTCATTTTTGAATGAGCTTTTATTGTAACTTTTCGGGTTTCATTTGACTTTTTATGAGTTTTAGTAATTTTGTTGTGTGCGTTTGTCTATGGCTGTAAAGAAATATCACATGTAATTTAACATTAAAAAACCCTCGTTCTGACAGCGTAAACTTCCTCGAACGAGCGCGCCAGTCTTCTGCTTCAGCCAATGAAAACGAGGGAAAACTTCACAGAGGATAGGGACCCGCATCAAATGTCACTCTTTCATGAAAACCGAAATAAGAAACGCCAGATTTTCACCCTTTCTAGAAAGTCCTCTGTTGAATTTCAAGAACTATCATTCTTTTATTGAAACATCGGTAATGTTTTCTGTTTATTTAATATTTGTATTGTATTTATTCTGTTTTATTGTATTTTATGATCTATCTCAGTGTTAATTTAGTATTATTTATCTTTTATTATTCATTTTTGAATGAGCTTTTATTGTAACTTTTCGGGTTTCATTTGACTTTTTATGAGTTTTAGTAATTTTGTTGTGTGCGTTTGTCTTTTTTTGTTTTTGTATTTCTATTACCTTTAATTTATTTTTATTTCAGTTTTAGTTTTTATAATTTATTATAATTTAAGTATTATTAAGTTTTTAGCTAGTTTTAGTTAACAGTATACATCCCTTCTTTCTTGAATGTCATCTGTTGATTTTCACTATCTATCTATCTCCTTTAATTCTGTCAATATAAATACATATACATATATTAATATAATACATGTTTTAATTTACATGCATTCAAATATTAACATTTTTTGAAAGTGTGCAGCATAAATACTAATGTGTATTTTAAAACAAAATTGTATTATTCTTTTTATTATAATATACACCATTAACAACACTTAGAACATCATACAGTGGGGAAAATAAACATCATCATCATAGTATTAACAGGCTACATATACATGCTGTCTTTAGACATTGTTAAAAGACTATCATTTATATGCTTTGTTTTTTATAGGCATAAAAACTCAAAAAATACTTTCAATATTTTAACCTTATATAAAAGTTTATTTTCTCTGGCTTTTTTTGTTTTAATTTTATTATTACTATTTTTATTATATATGTCTTGTTTTGTATATTTTAGTTTTGTTCTATACTTGTTACAAGTGCACGTCAAGTTGTTTGGCATGAATAAAGACAAATAATAATAATAATAATAACCTAAACTGACCATAAAAACATATAAATATAATAATAATATAAATATATCATACTGGTAAAACAATGTATAGCCTGACTGCACTGTAAGTCACTTTGGGTAAAAGCGTCTGCTGAATGCATAAATTATTATTATTATTATTAATAATAAATTATATAACAATTTTTTCGTTATTAACTGTGGTTAAGAGTTTCGCGACGGTGCCTAGGGTTGCAGTTAGTTCTAGACAGTGTTGCCAAGTCCGTTGTTTTTCCGCGGAAATGGGCTACTTTAACACTGTTGCCGCGGGTTGAAGGCAGCGACCCCAATAACGTGGTATTTAGCCCTTGGAATGCGAATTTCATCAGGGGAACAACGCCAAAAAAAAACGTCTATTTTACCCCCCGCCCCCCAGGAACGCGATTGGCCTAGTTTTGAGTAGCAATTGTGCGGGTTTAGTTGTGAAAACCTGGCAACCCTGGTTCTAGACTCTCGCTCTCGCGCAGCTCTGGAAAGTTCGTCGAGTCGCTTCAGTTTCCAACGGCGCGCCGATCGTTTTATAAATACCTCGCACAGCTCGTCCGTGGACTTAAAAACTACCATTAACAAGCACGAACCGCAAAAATATTCGCCGTGGATCACCGAATCCATTCCTAATCGCGTTATTAATTCCATTTAGCCCTGCAGCCGTCGAGTGATTAATCCAGTGATTTATGTGAAGGAAAGACCTCAGAAGACGGTCTGTGAGGAGAGTGCTTCTAAGTTATTTTTGGGGCCGTTTCGAAGGAAATATCCATTTTAAATCAAAGATGACTGCAGAAGAGGTGGTGAATGAAGGCTGCAGCACCTCCATCGAGGGTGAAGACATCACCCCGAAGAAAGATGGAGGTGTTTTAAAGGTAAATGCTGCAGTGCCATGAGCCGCATTGACTCTATAAGGGAGATGTGACTGACTGGATGCATGTTACAGTCAATATTTCTCTCTGTTAGCTCACATTACTGCAGTTCTAGCTGTTGTATGCACTAAAATGTGAATAAACGCTGCTAATTGGTTTCAAACACCGCGTGTTGTTCATTCTGCAGCATTGCTAGCTAACGATAGATCTTCTTAAAGGGACAGTTCACCCACCAAAATTAAGTTTTATCATAAGTTACTTCTTAATGTCTAACCGAACTTATAAGACTTTATATTTTTTATGTGGAGCACAAAATGAGATGTTTTGCGGTTGGCAGCTCCGGTCACCATTCACTTTCATTGCAGTCTCGTCTAATACAACGAAAGCGAATGGTGACTGATATTGTCATAAGCTCTAAATGGTAAATTCGTGTTCCACAGACAAAAACAATCAAGTCATTCAGGTTTGGAACAACATGAGGGCAAATAAATGTCGACAGAATTCTTATTTTTAAAAGAACTTTTAATTTTTCTTTAGGCGTGTTTCAATGTTGTAGTTTTATTTGTGTAGATTAACCATGTGTAATGTCAAGTAAACATTGAAATGTCGTCTATTTTGAATTTATGTACAAGTGACTCGTTTATGTAATGAACCGAGAGGCAGCCTATTCAATGTGCACATGCATGTAATTTCAGGAAACTTCTCTCAGGTTAGTGTTTTCAGATGGAAACTGATTCAAACAGGAATTACTTGTTTGGGTAGTTGAACGCTTTCAGTGTAATGCATTTGAGAAATTTATCTGAATGAGCTGTAATTATAATTAGCAATATGGCACACCTGTGCAATTTAAAAGTAATTTATTATATACAAATGTAGATGAATTCATTTGTTGTTTTCGGGTAACGTATCATAAATGTAAGCATTAGGCGTGAACATTTTTCTGTCTGCGCTCTTTGAAGATTGACAGATCACAGGTGTAGTGCAGTGTGACCAACAGATTGATGATTAATCTCGTTCTCTCTTCTACAGATGGTCAAGAAGGAGGGTACAGGCACCGAGTTGCCTATGACCGGTGATAAAGTATTTGTACACTATGTTGGAACACTGCTTGATGGCACGCCGTTCGACTCCAGCCGTGATCGAGGAGAGAAGTTCTCCTTTGAGCTGGGCAAAGGTGGGTGTTGTGAGAGTGAAGTGGGTTGAGTGTTTGTCTGCCCTGTACCCTCTCTGATATTTAAACAGGTTGTTGACGCTGTAGTTTTATATGGAAATAACACCTGTTTAGGGTTGGGTATCGTTTTAATTTGATCGATTCCGATTCTTATCGATTCCAATAAGATAAAAAAATCCAATATAAAAAACATTTAGATGTCAAACATTTATTCTGTCTTTTTACAAAGCATTCTGTTGCAGCTGAATAACACGAGCAAAAATCAGCAGCCTACAGAACACTGCAAGAGGAATTTTGCCTATGCTTTAAAAAAAATTACCACAGCAAAAACAACTAGATTAATATAAATTTCAAATATTAAAGCGTTAAAGACAAGTAAACAGTCAGTGATAAGATGGGAACAAACAAATCAATTGGCAATATCATAAATAAATACAACTGAACAAAATTTCAGGTACAGAAACTGTAATTAAAAGTTTAAAAAACACTGCATAGTTTTCTTTTCATAAATAAAATATAGATTAATCAATTAAAGTTATTAAATATATTCAGTCAAGATCAGTGAATGATTTTCTTTTGTTCTTTGATTAACATTAATGACAGGCAGCAGCCGCAGCACGTTTATTAGGCTGCTGTCTCTTTAACACCGAACGCACGCAGATCTAAAAATACTGTACATGTGTGTTTTCTTTCTCATCTGTTTACGTTCACGTACGACAAAATGGCTGTGTTTATGATGATATACTGACATAGTTTTCTGCATATTGGTCGACAAATATGAAAGAAGTCAGTTTCGGCCCAGGACAAGCTTTTCTACAGTGGAAATACACAGAACGGTTCGAGAACGGACACAAACCGGGAACCTGTACTGCGATTTCTGTTCTCTGTGCTTGCGCTTCGTGTGCGCTGCACACAAACAGGGCGCAAGTTCTTTCCGTTCCTGCACTTAAATCGTTTTTAATCACATTAAAATGCGAACGCAGGAATCGTTAAGCAGAATCGAAATGCACGCGTCTTATCGAATACCCGGTTCTTGGAAATGTGGAACTGGGTCTAAAATGGAACCGGTTTTCGATAACCAACCCTACACCTGTTATGACTGCTTAAAGTAGCGATTTGATGTAAGTAGGGACAGATCATTTCTTACGTCTGTGATTACGTATTTTTGTAGGCTAACCTGGAAGTTGTCATCACCTTCCCTCGATGAAACCCCAATAGGATTTTTACGTTGGCTTTTGGATTATTGCAGAAAATAAGCACTGTGAATTAAAAAATGTTGAACCCTAAATACAATCGGCAGAAGTAAAAAGCGAAACATAGGCTATAAATACACATTAGCACACAGATACATTCTAATACAAACTACATCACGGTTTGAGTTAGAATAATTAGCAAAAGTGCAATTATAAACATGAGGCTGTAAAAGCGACTAGTGAGTAGATGAGTTTATCCGTGTTGAGTGTTAAGACACCTGTTTAAAAAGTAACCGCTTAAAGGGGTCATGTGATGTTGCTAAAAAAGAACATTTTGTGTATTTGGTGTAATGAAATGTTTATGCGGTTTAAGGTTCAAAAAACACATTATTTTCCACATACTGTACGTTATTGTTTCTCCTCTATGCCCCGCCTTTCTGAAACGCATCGATTTTTATAAAGCTCATCGCTCATCCAGTGCGTTGTGATTGGCTGAATACCTCAAGCGTGTGACGGAAATGTTACACACCTTACCATATTGTGATGCCTTGTCCGGCCGGAGCGACGAGACAAAAACATTAAAACCCACTATAAACGAGGCATTCGTTGCATCCAGTGGGGACATAATTACGGACTATAATGACTTATATTGTGATGCCTTGTCCGGCCGGAGCGACGAGACAAAAACATTAAAACCCACTATAAACGAGGCATTCGTTGCATCCAGTGGGGACATAATTACGGATTATAATGACTTATACTGTCTTTTTACGTGTTGCATTGCATCGTGCCGCGTAAACATAAAACCATATCTGCATTTATGATCGGAGAAATGACAAACAACAAGCGCTACTCTACACTGCTCAAAATTCACATTTGAATCGTCAATGGCAAATTCTTTAAATATAAAAAATAGGGATGCTCCGATCCGCCTTTTTTGCCTCCGATACCGATTCCGATACCTAGGGTTCGGTATTGGCCGATTCCGATCCGATACGTTTTTTTCATAATAATAATAATAATATATATATATATATATATATATATATTTATTATTATTATTTTTTATTTTATTTTTTTCTACTTTCAATATTAAATCAAAAAACGAATGATCGAATGATACACGGATTCTCACCTATTATCGTCCCTGTTTTGATTTCAGCGAATCAGATTTCAGCGAATCAGTTCGATAAATGCGTTAAGAATCCGTACTTTTTTGGGAAAAAAAACGAAAAAGGAGCCGTTTTCTCATTTTTCTACTTTCAATATTAAACCAAAAAACGAATGATACACGGACTGGTTTAAAAGGCTTCATTTAGATTATTTGACGTTAAATGCATCATATAAGTCATTTTGGAATAAATCACAGTAGGCCTATGTATCATGATAAAAAAAGCGACTTTACAGTCTGGAAATACTTTAGGTTATAGCAAATTATTTCGGAACCCCCTATCACGTTAAGAACAACTGGTCTACACAGAAGAAAGCCCTCTGCCCCGGTACGAGTTGTGTCGAGCTATTCATTAGTCTATTTGATGAGAAAAATATGAAATGTAGTTGCAATAAAATGGGAAAATTAATCCATACAACTGCAGCAGTGGAGGACTATTATTCTGCTGCATGATACTGTGGAAGAACTGATGACTGCATGGTTTGATCTTCGGCTGACCAATCAGCAGAAAGGGGCATTTAATTCCCGCTCACATGTAGAAATCAAATATTCAAGCTGTTTATTCATTTTTCTACCCCTGAGCGAAAAAAGAAAATTTTATCTGAATTCTCTTTTTTCAATTCTTGGGGAAAAAAAACGAAAAAGGAGCCGTTTTCTCATTTTTCTACTTTCAATATTAAACCAAAAAACGAATGATACACGGACTGGTGAGCACCAGCCAATGAGATTGACGTTTGCGCATAAGTTCCACCTACTACAGGAAAATCCGGCAGTTCTTAAAAGCTGAAGAATTCCAAAGGAACTCTGTTATTTTTACAGGAAAATACAACAAAGTATATCGTTTACATGTAGCACATCAATTCTGCATGTTATGTAAGACTCACTCTCGCTCTTTGCTCACAGTGAGAGAAAGCGACGGCGAGTCGTGCGCCTTCACACTAGAAACACATTACGCCAAATACACAAACACAGGTGCGCTGCGCATTCATTCAAATTAACTGAAAAATATCAGATCGCTTGACCGAGAGTGAAACTCTGAAGCGCTCAGTCAGTGTTCTGTGAGTGAAAATATATCTGTGCTAATCATACTTAGCCTCCAACTCACACACTGGCGAGTAAAATCTGTGAATTTATTAGCCATTGGCTAATATTAGACATCATTTAGTTGCCCAGAGTGAAGATTTAGTCGCATATGCGAGTGATTTACTC